TCCTATGGTGGTTTGGATTATAGGCTGGTAATACTTTGCTCTATATCTAAAATCCATATATGAGTGAGTACATACCATGTTTGTCTTTTTGTAACTGGGTTACCTTTCTCAGGATAGTGTCTTCTAGTTTCATCCATTTGCCTGCGAATTTCAAGTCTCCATTGATTTTTTCCCCTGCTGAGTAGTACTCCATTGTATAAATGTTCCACCATTTCTCTATCCATTCTTCAGTTCAAGGACATCTAGGTTGCTTCCAGCTTCTAGCTATGACAAACAACACTGATATGAACATAGTTGAACAGATGTCCTTGTTTATGAATGTGCATTCTTTTGGTTGCCCAGGAGAGGAAATGCTGGATCTTGAGGTAGACTCATTCCCATTTTCCTGAGAAACGGCCAAACTTATTTCCAAAGTGGTTGTACAAGTTTTCACTCCCACCAGCAATGGAGGAGTGTTCCTCTTTCTCCACTCTTTCTCCACTCTTTCTCTTCTTTCTCCTCTCCAGCATAAACTGCCATTGGTGTTTTTGATTTTAGCCATTCTGGCCAGTGTAAGATGGTTTCTCAGAGTTATATTGACTTGAATTTCCCTGATGGCTAAGGATGTTGAGCACTTTCTTAAGTATCTCTTGGCCATTTTAGATTCCTCTATTTAGTTCTGCATAGCACTTTTTAATTGGATTGTTTGGTGTTTTGGTGGCTAGCTTCTTAAGTTCGTTATATATTTTGGAAATCAACCCTCTGTCAGATGTGGGGTTGGTGAAGATCTTTTCCCATTATGTGGGCTGCTGTTTTGTCTTGTTGACTGTGTCCTTTGCCTTGCAGAAGCTTCTCAGTTTCAGGAGGTCTCATTTATTATTTGTTGATATCAATGTCTTGTGCTACTGGTGTTATGTTCAGGAAGTGTTCTCCTGTATCAATTTGTTCAAGGGTACTTCCCACATATAAGGGTTTTTTTTGAATGTTCAGGTCTTTGATCCATTTAGACTTAAGTTTTGTACATGGCAATAGATATATATCTATCTGCACTATTCTACATTTCTGCATCCAGTTATACAAGCAACATTTGTTGAAGATGCTTTCTTTTTTCCATTGTATAGTTTTAGCTTCTTTGTCAAAAGTCAGGTGTTCATAGGTATGTGAATTAATATCAGGGTTTTCAATTCAATTCCATCAGTCTACCTGTCTATTTTTGTGCCAATATCAAGTTGTTTTCAGGACTATGGTTCTATAATAGAGCTTGAAGTCAGGGATGGTGATTCCTCCTCAAGTTCCTTTATTGTACAGGGTTGTTGTGGCTATCCTGGGTCTTTTGTTTTTCCATATAAAGTTGATTATTGTTCTTTCAAGGTCTGTGAAGAATTGTGTTAGGATTTTAATGGGGATTGCATTGAATCTGTAGATTGCTTTTGGCAAGATTGCCATTTTTACTATGTTGATCCTACCTATCCAAGAGCATGGGAGATCTTTCCATTTTCTGATATATTCTTAAATTTCTTTCTTTAAAGACTCAAAGTTCTTAATATACAGGTCTTTTACTTGTTTGGTTAGCTTTATCCCAAGATATTTTATGTTGTTTGTGGCTATTGGAAAAGGTGACATTTCTCTGATTTCTTTCTCAGCACCTTTATCATCTGTATATATTAGAGGTACTGATTTTTTTAGTTAATTTTGTATCTTGCCAATTTGTTGAAGGTATTTATCAGCTATAGGAGTTCCCTGGTAGTTTTTCAGGTCACTTATGTAAACTATCATATCGTCTGCAAATAGTGAAACTTTGACTTCTTCCTTTCCAATATATATCCCCTTGATCTCCTTTTGTTGTTTTATTGCACTAGCTAGAACTTCAAGTACAATATTGAAGAGATATGGAGAGAGTGGACAGCCTTGTCTTGTTCCTGATTGTAGAGGAATTGTATTGAGTTTCTCTCCATTTACTTTGTTGTTGGCTGTTGGTTTGCTGTATGTTGCTTTTATCATGTTTAAATGTGTTCTAGTTATTCCTGATATCTTCAGGACCTTTATCATGAAGGGGTGTTGAATTTTGTCAATGGCTTTTTCAGCATCAAGTGAGATGATCATGTGTTTTTTTTCTTTTTCATTTTGCTTATATGGTGGATTACACTGATGGATTTTCCTATGTTGAACTATCTCCACATCCCTGGGATGAAGCCTACTTGATCATAGTGGATGATTTTTCTAATGTGTTCCTGGATTCAATTTGCCAGTATTTTGTTGAGTATTTTTTGCATCAATGCTCATGAGGGATATTGGTCAATAGTTCTCTTTCTTAGTTGTGTTTTGTGGGGCTTGGGTACCAAAGTAATTGTAGCCTCGTAAAAAGAGTTTGATAATGTCCCTTTTGCTTCTATTGTGTGAAACAATTTGAGGAGTACTGGTATTAGCTCTTCTTTGAATTTCTAATAGAATTCTGCATTGAAACCATCTAGCCCTAGCCTTTTTGTTTTGGTTGAGAGACATTTGATGACTACTTCTATTTCATTGGGGGTTACAGGTCTATTTAAATTTCTTATCTGTTCTTGATTTAACTTATTTTGGTAACTTATATCTATCCAGAAAATTGTCTATTTCTTTTAGATTTTCGAATTTTGTGAAGTACAGGTTTTCAAAGTATGATCTGATGATTCTCTGGGTTTCTATAAAGACAGGAGGATCTGTATGACTTGCTGACCATCCAAAGTAGTCCAATCAATGAGCTTCAGGTACAATGAGAGATCCTGTCTCAGAAGCTAAGATGAAGGGTGATAAATGAAGAACTCAGTGTTGACCGCCAGTCTGCATGCACACATACATGCACACACGTGGACACATGCACACATGCACACCACACACATGCTCATGGACACATGCACAGAGAAAGGGGTAGATGGTGGCCATTGGCTGGCTTCTAATGAACACTTCATCCAGCTCGTCCCAGGGGCTGGAAGGTGGGATGATATGACCAGTAACAGCATCAGCCTTTAAATCAGACAGACTTATGTTCTAAACATCCCTGTCCATTCACTCTAAGTAATTTTACACTGAGCTTCAGCACACCAGTCATTAAAAGAGAGGAGAGATACACGAGCACTAAACACAACAAGGTATGTGAAGTATTCAGTTCCATGTAAGCACTTGGTGTTAGTTGCTGTTCTTGTTTGTGCCTCATTAAGGTTATGTTGGTGGAAAATGTTAGAACATGTTTGGTGTGTGAGCTGACTGTACTGAACACAAGGATATGCCATATTGCCATACTCAACAGCAGAGCATCCAAAGAAATAGCGTTAATAGCCAGATGGTCAGAGTTCAGGTTATAGTTGTACCTTACAGGATCTCAGTAAACCATTAATAAATAAATTATATTCCTGAAAATGATAGTATTTAAACAAACAAGTACCTAGGTAATTTTGGTCAAGGCCCATAAATGTTTTTTCCATTTCTGTGAGAGCACCTGTTTTATTAAATACATTTCACAAACATAAGTCATACACTGTGTAACATTCTATAAGGATGTGACATTTAGGTTATTTAACTGTTGTAATTATTAGACTTTTAGCTTGGATCAAAATTAATTCATCTTCAAATATATCAAATGTTTCTATATTCGGTGAGTTCTTAGTTTGTGGGATGTAAATAACTTGAAATCCTGATTAATTTCTTTAAAAACAATCCTGTATTGTCTCCTTCCATAGAAGACAATTGCAAATGCATATTTATAAGCAATGTTGCTTGAAATTTCAGGAGGTTTAGAAAGTTCATGAAGCCCATTCATGGCTCCTTATCCGGGGCTTCAGATCAATATCAACAATGTAAAATGTGTCAATATGAAGCAGAGTACAGATGCTGAAAGGCTTTCCTGGACCATTGAGAAGAGTCACCCCTATACTAATGCTGACCAAAGGATATATGAATAGGCTCATAATAAGACCCAATCCAAGCTCTTTTGCCTATTTAGCAGAATATACATTTTACACCCCCATGTCAGTGTCTCTGTAACTGAGCTGATTAAGCCATTATATGTATGTGCTATCTTCATTTTCCTTAGTGAAGGATGTCTCATCAGGGGTATCAGTTCACTGCCTCTTCCCTGTGATGTCTTGAATCCTGGATACCCAAGACATTCCTGGCTCTGATCCTGCTATGTCCTCTTCCCTTGCCTGTCTAAGGCACTATTCCATTTGAGAAAATGCACAGCATGACTCAGCACTGGGTACTGCAACTACTTAAAGGGGAAAGAATAATTCATAACAACAGCAACAGCAAATTTAATACATTTAACATGGAATACAGCATCAGGATTAGTAGCATAAAATGAAAGTACTCACAACATTGGGGAAGGTATAGTATCATCCCAGGATACGTTTAACTTGGTCTTTGTGCAGTTCTAACTATTGAGGGTTGTGATCACAAAGATAGATCTTAATATTCAATTCTCAATATGATGCTGACTCTACATGTCTATTTGGACATTGCCTAGAGAATCCTATCTTCTAGGGAGCTAACAAGATGAGTAAAGTGAAGGTGATTGCCACAACCATGATGAACTGAGTTCAGTTCTCAAGATTCACATAGCAAAAGGAGGCATGTGACCCCTACAAGTTGTCTCCTGATCTCCACATGTGCATCATGGCCTATGTACCCCCCAACTCCTCCTCCAACACACACACACACACACACACACACACACACACACACACACACAGAATAAGTAAGTGTTGTAACCTTCTTGAAAAATGTACTAGATTCTCAATATGAAGCAAAATAGCTGTTTCATACATTTGGTTTGTCATTCGTATCTCTTTCCTACTGAGAGCAGAACACACTTGGATACAATCAAGAATATACCTATGTCTGTGTCTGAACAATTCGTTTGCATGTTAGTGCCTTTGGGTGTTTAAAATGTGCTCAATTATTGAACTTTGAAACATAATGGTAAAAGGTTTTAAACGAGTAATTAAATGAGTACTGTATATTAGAACCATTTCTTTTTCTCCCCATAGCTTCATCATCCTTCTCAAGGCTTCCGTTTTGGAACTGTCCGGGAGAGCAGTGCTGAAGACTATGTGCGGCAGAGCTTCCCAGAGATGCATGAGTACATGAGAAGGTACAACGTACCAGCCACCCCTGATGGAGTGCAGTATCTGAAGTGAGTGTCAGCCTCTTGGATCCTAAAAGTTCCAATGAAAGAAAAATCATTTGGTGTTTGTCTTTGTTTTCAATATGATGGACAAAAATCCCTAATGTTATATTGAGGGTCTGTACAAGTGACTCAGCCAATAAAATGTGTTCTGTACAAGCATGAGGAACTGGATTTGAATCTCCAGCACTTGTTTAAGACTCAAGGCACACACAAATACTCCCAGTGATGGGCAAAAAAAAGGGAAGAGGATTCCAGAGTCTTTTTGGTCGGTCAGTCTAGCCAAGTCAGGGAACTCCAGGTTCACTAAGAGAACTTGTCTCAAAAAATAGAGCATGATTGAAGAAGACCACCACCACATGATAGCTTCTTCTATCCTATACAAACACACACACACACACATGCACACATGCAAGCACGCACTCATGAACATATAAATAAATACACATAAACACACAAAGAAATAATTCATACCTTGTGAGATCCAAAAGACAATATAGAATGCTGCACAAGAAATTAAATGACAAAGATTACCAGTTACCTACGCCATCTACAGTTTGCAATACCTTTGGTGAAAGAGCCAGGGTCATTAGTGGAGTGGATGGCAATGGAAGAAAATGTTGGCTTAAACCCCAATGCTGAGATGAGTAAACACATGGTGAATGTGGTCAAGGGATACAGTGTCCCAAAGCAACCTTTCCCTTCAAAGTGAATCCCTACGCCTGTGGAATGCCTCATTTTTGCCACAAGGAAATGGAAATTTATCTCAAAGATTTCCTGTGGGAAACAAATAAGATAGAAGCCAGTGGCTCCTGTGCCTGCATTCTTCTCATCAGAATTTATGAGAAGCAATCAAAGGCAATCATGTTGCCATGACAGATTATCAGAGCCTGTAATTCAGTAGAGTCAAATGCCAAGCCGTGCAGTGATGAGTCTGCTGCTCTGGGCTGCCTTGGAGAAGGGACTGAATAGCTTTAAACTTCTGCAAGAGAGGTACCTGTCCTCCCTATGCTGCCTGATAGCATCAAGATAAGAATTTGCAGCCAACCTCCTAATCCCCACGTTGGTTCATCGCCAGGAAACCAGTTTCTCTATCTTAGTGTTGGAATTTCACCAGTGAACAGTGAGTAGGCTCAATTCATTTTTCTAAAAGGAAAGAAAGACTTTCACAGGACATAAGGGCTTTGTGTTCCTCAAGAGGTCTAGTAATAGCCACTTCATCAATTTTATGGACTTTTTTAAACTAGAACTCAGAGAGGCAGGAAGCTGTGTACACTTAGGTTCACAAAATTATTTATGAAGTTTAAGTGACACTTAATTTTGCAAAAACATCAAAACATTAGAATCTTATCTGACACCCTTTGGTCCATTGCCTCCCAGACTTTCTTCTGTTTTCTTCGCAGGCAGTTTCACAGGTGTGAGAGAGAGGATGGGATGTCAGACAGACAGCAAGGGTCCTCAGCTAGTTGTCACTGGTTGGCAAACAGGGCTCTGCCAGCACTATGGCAGGATGAGGTGAAACTTTCCTGAGGGCTCAGAAGCTCCCCTGCACTCAGAGATTTTATTTCCCCCAGTGACTCTACCCAAGAAGGCCTTCATCTGATGCCCAGTGTCACAAAGTGATACGGCTAACAGGTGACAGAATATATACAAAAACTAGGATCAATAGCTTCGTGCTAGTTCAGAAGTCATAAGGGAAGACTCTTTGATGATTTAAGACTAACCCATGGTCCAACTGCACCCATTTTAGTTGGTGTGAGGGAACCAGACGGAAGTACAGTTTGAACCCCACCCCAAACCCACCACAGTTTTACAAACTTCCCAGGTGACTCATTTGATTGACATAACATAGTAATATAGCCCGAGCTTATTGTCAGTGTCTCCTTATTTCTTTCTGGGACTGTTGCCACTTTTGACCTAGTCTCAGTGGATGCTCTTAGGCAACGCTCCAAGCAACCACAGTTCTCATGCTGTCTGACACTCCCAGCACCCTGGAGCTCTGACCTACAGCACTCAGAGTCGTCTACATCGGATTCTCATTAATTTTATTATGTTAGTACATGACTAATACTGTAGTATGTAAAAGACACTGTTAAATGAATGTCTGTAGTAAGACACGATTCTATAATAGAGTAAGCTAGTTGGTCTGGCAACTACGACAATGATTCAGCCAGCCTAGAACTACTCACGACTGGATCAACTAGTCCACCGCCTCCCCAGTGACTCAGGTCCTATGGGAGTCTATGAGAATGTTGCTTCTGTCCTTTTATGGCATAGAAACCAACCAAGGACAACTAACCTCACAATACAAGGACATCAGTGACATGAGGGAGCTCAGGAATTACTGGTTCAAAAAAGATATATGAACCTTGGGGGTGTTTTTCTCTATTTGTCCTATTTTTAGCATAGATATTTATGGACCATTGTCATGTTACTGTGTAGCCCTTTTCAAGGGGCATTCTCTTGCTGTGGCAATGAAATTTTAATTAAGAATGCATCTTCAGACTAGAATTTGACTTTATTACCTAGGTTCCATTAAGATGCCACATCAACAACTCCTAGGAAGTAATTCACACTCCCCAGACTTCCTCTTGCTAGGGATCTCTGTCGTGTTTTCACTTTATTTGATGCTAAACATGTCAAAATTAAGTTATTGTAATTTAAGTGAAATATTCCTGGAAAGATAGATGCATTCTGCAGCATCTGTTTCACTTGCCGGAAGAATGGGAAAATAATTCAGTGGCAATTTATGCCAAAAAGAGAACCATTTATTATGTGTCTATGTGCAGTCCAGGCAACATTAGCAACTTCTTGCCTGGTGGTGAATCTCACCTGTGTGTGTGGATATCCTTCTCTTCCAATTTGTTAATGAGCTCTCGCCATATTCTCCTGAGATTAGAGGCCACTCCCTGTTGTTGGATCTGCACAGCCTCACTCAGGTTTCAGGAATGGAAAGGCTGAGGCTACATTAAATTGAGAGGTTCTGTCTTGCAAAACTGCTTAGACAATTCTAATGGTAGAAAAGTCTTTGTTATTAAAGGGAAATTATTTAGGGAGGAAAATGAATGGTAAGGAGCGGGGATATCATTAATAATGAGAAACATTTTTTCAATTTTTTTTATTTAGGTTAGAAACAATCTTGTTTCACATGTCAGTCCCAGCTCCCTCTTCTTCCCCTCCTCCCCCGCCCCCACCAGGTCCCCCAGTCCCCCACCCAATCTCCACCAAGGAGGTGTTTAAGAGAAGTAGACTGGGGAGAGAAAAGAGGGAAGGACAGGAGAGAGAGGATATGGCCAAACCATTACATGCACACAGGGAAACATCAGAATGATTGAGAGTGGCGGCTCAAGCCTGAACCCTACTTATCACGAGATGGAGGTAAAAGTGTGTGTGCTTGAAATCAGCCCAGAATACGTGGTGAGATTTTGAAAAATGAGGGGGAAAGGAAGGAAGGAAGGAGGAAATAAAGGGAGGCAAGGAGGCTAGGAAGGAGGGATGGTGGCAGGGAATGGTGGAGGAAAAAAATCACAGTGAAATCCATTATTCTTTAACATGCACTAATAAAAAAGAGAAGAAAAGCCTTAAGTGCATAATTTCTATACTTCAATAAAAGAGATTTAGGATGGCTGAAAACAAAGAAGTTGGCTTCCTTCCAGACTCTTCATTCCCTGCAAGGGTTGTCCAGCCTGTGATTAAACACAGCTTTCCACTGGGTCATGTCTACACCCATGTTCAAAACAATAGCGAATTCTCATAAAGGACACCTAAGACATTTAATGGCAACTTAAGCCCATTGTCAATTGACTAGTGCATGCCTACTGGGCCTAACTCAAGTTGTTCTGAACTGCCTATGCAGTGAGAAGAAATGGGACTCTCTGGAGACAGATCTGGAATGTAAGCTTCACCTCCAATTTATTGGATGGTCTACTACAGACTCAAAGATACCACAAATTTCTTTTCTCCGAGAACTAGATCTTTTCTAGGTATTTTCTTGATATGTATTCCTAAATACACAATTACAGTCAATTTCTGGATAACAAAACGGTGATTGTGACAGGAAGAAGTAAAATTTTCAACATCTAATTCACAAGAACACTTGTCTCCAACACTTAGGCAGGTGTGTGGCCTAAATCAAAACACTTCAAATCTTGAGCCTCATTTCCATCATTATTTGTTTCACATTCCTGATGAATAGTTATATGTATGTAGAATACTGAATGCAGTATTTAACATGTGTTGCTTTGGTAAACAGTAGAGATCAGCCTTCCCTGTGCTCCTTCCTATTCAATTAAGAGTTACATCTAGCTTTGATGTTGGGCTTGGCAGTTAAGGAATGAGGCTGGTAGATAAACTTATGGGAAATAATTTGCGTACTCTAAAAAGAATGCCTGTTACCCTGATATCTACTCTACAAGTGAATGAGATGCCAACAAGGGCCAGCAGCTCGCAAGTTTGTGCTGCCCTGGGTGTCCAAGTGTCTATCCCCAAACCAAAGCTAACTGTCAGGCTACTCCTTCCTACTCAGTAGTGAACCACTTTCATTTCTCTTCCATTTGGTTTTAAACGTAGGAACGATCCAGAGAAACTCGATGCCTTCATCATGGACAAAGCCCTTCTGGATTATGAAGTATCAATCGATGCCGACTGCAAGCTCCTGACTGTGGGGAAGCCATTTGCCATCGAAGGTACCAATCATTCTTAGTTCACTTTTGCCCAGGATGTGCTGTTTGCAAACCTCACAAGTCACAGGTGCCAGAAGCAGAGAGTGATTCATCATTCCTTGTTTTCATTTTCAACTCTTAAGCACTCAGCTACTAAGCTTGTTGACATTAGAGATTTATTTTTCACCAACTCAACAAAATTTTATTTGTGAAACTGTTAGAGCAAAAAAATAATAATAGTTTCCTAATGGATGATGTCAGTTCAGGTTTCAGGCAGTCATAATGACTCTAACATTATTTAATGTGCATTTGTGTTTGTATTTGTGTTTTGCTGTTTTCTGTGGTGGTTAAGTATCAAACCTTGGACTTTGTGGTTACTAGGCAACTACTGTACCACAGATCTGTCCCAACCTCTATCTAATGAGTATTTTGTTTGTTTGGTTGGTTGGTTGCTTGGTCGGTTGGTAGCTTGGTTGGTTGATTGGTTGGTTTGGTTTTTTGAGACAGGGTTTCTCTGTATTGTTTTGGAGCCTGTCCTGGAACTCACTCTGTAGACCATGTTGGCCTTGAACTTACAGAGATTTGCCTGCCTCTGCCTCCTAAGTGCTGGGATTAAAGGCAGCTCTAATGAGTATTTTTGAATGGTCAAATACTATAATGAATCTGATTTTTAAAAAAAAAAACTGAAATATGATAGGATTCAGGGTATCTTGTGTATACCCCAGACAATGTCAACCCTGAAAACTTACATTACCTGTTTGATGGTGAATCTCATAGGTATCTGAAGAAAGCTTTCCCTTAAATTTTTGAGGAGCCTTATCCATGTTCTCCTGTGAGTTTGAGCTTGAAACAATCTCGTTGAGGTGCCACAGTTGTATTTCTAGAAACTGATGCTTGCTGTGATAATGCAAGCCTGTGAGAAAGTCCCAATGTTGATGAAATCTAGTCTGCTCATTTTTGCACAAAAAAGACCAAGAACTGATAGTACACCATGTTTTCATACCCATAGAAATTATATGACAATACTAGAATTATAAGCCAAACCTTATATTTTCCAAAGAATGTTATCTGCCAGTCTGGAAATAAATAGAAAACACCAAATTCTGAGATTTAGTACCCTTTGGGTCCTTAAACAAAACCTTGTTTGAGCCCCAGGATTGTTTTATCCCCAGTAGCAATAAATTTTGCTTCCAAATAGATCAACCCATCAATCAAGCTTCAGAACCAAAGAATCGTTGCTTTGTCAGTATTTTCTCTCATTCTGAACAACAGTTGATATGTGGACTACATAGCCTGAACCAACAAATTCCATGCCTCCCAATTCCCAGGTTCCCCTCTCTGAAAACAGAAGCTGGTGCTCATAAACACTTGTCAGAAAACATTTTGCTTTAAAACAATTTCAAAGTGCACAAACTTTGGCTTTCAGAAATCTGTGTTTGTTTTATGTTGTTTTTTGTATGTTAGCAGGAGTATAAGACTATTCTGTTTTCAATCTTACAGCTGTAGTTAGGCTCTGTCTCCTCTAAACATATCAGTGTTTTTCCTCAGTCTTTGTGTTTTTAATGAATGGGAATTAAACAGCTACTGTCATTTTTCAAGTCTCTTTGTGGGAACTATAAGTTTCCTCTCCAGACAAGATAACAGTGATGAAACTCAGGATTTCAGGATGAGAGATAGTTGGTAGTAGCATTGTTCTGTTAAGACTAGAATATGAAGTGTGTGGGGGGGTGTTGGTATGAGAGGGAAGAAGAGAGAGAGAAAGAGAGAGGGAGAGAGAACTAGAAAACTTGAGAGCCTATTTAATATAACAATGGAAAAATCCATTTTTGTAGCATCTGGGGACATTTTATTTATGTACTAGGTGTGTGGGGTAATTGAGGTCCCTTCTACCATTAGTGGTTGCTAACAACAAATAGTTTCTAGAGGATATAAGAATTAAGAGGCTCTATTTTCCACCTTTGTCTCTAGGGAGCAACCCCATCTTGTCAAAAAGTAGTGGAAAGATGCCTTGTTTGCCTCTTCTGGACCTCAGTGCCAGATGCCACACAATTAACTCCCCACTGGTTTCCTGTTTACATTTCCATCTGTGCTCCTGAGATAAAGTGTCTTGTAGTTCCTATCATTTGAGACTCTGCTTTGTTCTCAAAGAGAATAAATACAAAAGAGCAAAGGTGTGAGCAGAACACGCATGACCACCACTACTTTCTGAGTTGAATGAGATGAGTGATGCTCAATACTAACTGTCAACTTGACGGGACCTAGAATCACCAAGAAGATGAGCATCTAGGCATGCCTGTGAGCGGTTATCTAGACTGGCTTAACTGAGATTGAAAGACTCACCTAGAATGCAGGCAACACCTTTTCATGAGCTGGTTTCCTAGACTGCTGTAAGTTCCTGCTGCCATGACTTTCTCATCATGAGGGACTGTACCCTCAAACTATGAGCCAATATTAACCCTTTCCTCCTTAAGTTGCTTTCTTTTCTGGTATTTTGTTATAACAACAGGAACACAAATGAGAAAATTTAATAAATACTGCCTCTGTGAATGAGTTCACAACCTAAACTCAAAATATGTCAGTCAGTCAGCTCTTCATCACTGCGACAGGCTATTTGAAATCATTCTGGGGACTCATAGTTCCCAAGACTTTAGTGCACAGCTGCTTGGATGTTGTTCCTGGGCCTGTGCTGAGGCAGAACATCATGGCAAAGAGAACGGGGTAGAACATACCTGCTCACTTCATAGTGACCATGAAACAGAGATCAAGAGAGGAAAGGCAGAGCAGAGCACAAAATAAACCCTTAAAAGATTATAGACAGTCCTCCGGCAGCATCAGGTAAACAGGCCAGCTTCCCGGCCTGTGTTCCAGTGCCTGCAGATCGCCTGGGAACTGCACAGAGCTCCCAATCCCGGCGGGAGCCAAGCACGCCAGACTCCAGATCTTCTCTCCCACCAACGAGACCAGGAAACAAGAGGAGGCTAGGAGTCCAGGGAAGCAGCTGTTCCTCTGGCAGCATCAGGTAAACAGGCCTGCTTCCCAGCCTGTGTTCCAATGCCTGCAGATCGCCTGGGAACTGCACAGAGCTCCCAATCCCGGCAAGAGCCAAGCACCCACACTCCAGGTCTTCTCTCCCACCAACGAGACCAGGAAACCTGAACCACAGAGACCAGGGGAGTAGCTGTTCCGGATCAGGTACAACAGGACCCAGCATAGGGTCCAGGGGACCAGGTAGGAGGCTAAGCACTCCAGATTCCTGTTCTTCTCCACCCACGGGACCAGCATTTGGACAAGGAATAGAAGACCCACCAGATTATTGGACTTGCTAGCACCCACCAAAAGGGAACTCTGGTCCCCAGACCAGTAAGGGGCTCTTTCAGCACCCACTAGAAGAAGAGATGGGAAAGAGGCAATACAAAAACACGCTCAGCAACAGAAAAACAAATATGACACCGCCAGATTCTAGAGACTCCACACCAGCAAGACCCCAACATTCCAATGCGAATGAAGCAGAAGAGAACGACCTTAAAAGCACTTTCATGAAAATGATAGAGGCCCTAAAAGAGGATATAGGAAAATCCCTCAAAGAAATAGAAGAAAAAACAAACCAAAAAATGCAAGAAATGGAAGAAAAAGCAAACCAAAAAATGCAAGAATTGGAAGAAGAAGCAAACCAAAAAAGGCAGGAAATGGAAGAAGAAACAAAGCACAAAATGTGAGAAATGGAACAAAAAGCAAACCAAAAAATGCAAGAAATGGAAGAAAGAACAAACCAAAAAATTCATAAAAGGCACCAAACGGACAAAAAGATAAACAGAAAATTGCAAGAAGCAATGCAAACACTGCAAGGGTTGAAAACTGAAATAGAGACATTAAAAAAACACAATCTGAAGAAAGGCAGAAAATAGAAAAGCTGGACAAACAGTCAGGCACTACCAATACAAGCATTACCAACAGAATAGAAGAGATGGAAGAGAGAATCTCAAGTGTTGAAGATACACTAGGAGAAATTGATTTATCAACCAAAGAAAACCTTAAATCCAACAAATCCTTAACACAAAACATCCAGGAAATATGGGACACCATGAAAAGACCAAACCTAAGAATAATAGGTATAGAAGAAGGAGAAGAAATCCACCTCAAAGGGGCAGAAGGCATATTCAACAAAATCATAGAAGAAAACTTTCCCAACCTTAAGAAAGACATGCCAATGAAGGTACAAGAAGCCTACAGAACACCAAATAGAGTGGACCACAAAAAAAATTCCCTCGCCACATAATAATCAAGACCCCAAACATACAGAATAAAGAAAGAATATTAAGAGCAGCTAAGGAAAAAGGTCAAGTAACATATAAAGGCAGACCTATCATAATTACACCTGATTTCTCCATGGAAACTCTGAAAGCCAGAAGGTCCTGGACAGATATTCTACCTACACTAAGAGACCATGGATGCCAGCCCAGACTACTATACCCGGCAAAGCTCTCAATCACTATAGACGGAGAAAACAAGATATTCCATGACAAAACTAGATTCAAGCAATATGTGTCCACTAACCCAGCCCTACAGAAAATATTGGAAGGAAAACTCCAACCCAAGGAAGCTAACTACAACCAGAAAAAACATAAGCATTAGAGAATCCCTCTCTACCAACACCCAAAAGAACAAAGGGGTGAAATTCCACACATAATTCCAACAACAACAACCATCGCAAATCGAAGAAGGATGAGCAATCAATGGGCATTAATATCCCTCAATATTAATGGCCTTAACTCACCCATAAAAAGACACAGACTAGCAGAATGGATTCGAAGACAGAACCCTTCCTTCTGCTGCATACAAGAAACACACCTCACCCTCAAAGACAGACATTACCTGAGAGTTAAAGGTTGGGAAAAAATTTTTCAATCAAATGGACCCAAGAAACAAGCAGGGGTAGCAATCCTAATATCTAACAAACTAGACTTTAAAATAAATTCAATCCAAAGAGATGAAGGAGGTCATTACATACTCATCACAGGTGAAAC